AAGGGGCAGCCCTCCTCCCCCACCCAGCCTTCCCGACCCCGCCCTCTGGGACACTAACCCAGCCTGCCCGCGGAGGGACTCCGACTTCCGCAAGGGATGCTGAGCCCCCAACTCCTTGACCTTCTCTGAACCCTCCTTGGGGACCCCAGGTTCTCTCATTTAAACTCTCGCACGCTGAGCCCTCCTTCCTACTGGGACTCGGGAGGACTTGGGACGCAACACCCCAAAACGTGACTGTAGGAGGTCAGAATATGCCACCCCAAAGTAGACTTCTTTGGCAGATTTGAACAGATCTGAGAAACTGCTGTCCTTCAGATAACTGCCTTTTTGTTTTAATTTATTATTTTTATTTATTTATTTTTTGTTTGTTTTTTTGAGACAGGGTCTCATTATGTAGTTGAGACTGACCTGGAACTCGCTGTGTAGCCCAGGCTGGTCTTGAACTCAGCGATCCTCCCGCCTCAGCCTCCTGAGTGCTGGGATTACAGGTGTGTGCCACCACGCCTGGCATAACTGCCTTTTTGTAAAAAATAGACATGAGTATTCTCCCTTCCCAATACAAGACACCTCCGCAGGACCTGCCAGCCTTCATTGGTCTCCCGTTGCCCAAAGTCCAAGCCCCTGTCCTTCCTGTAGCTCAGAATACTATGTAAGCTTCCATCACCTGAGTCTTCAGGTCCTAGATTTTGAGAGATGCTCATGCTGATGTATATCATTAAATACAGTTTTCTTCTGTTCACCTCTTTTATGTCAACCTAATTTATAGCCCAGTCAGAACCTAGAAGGGCGGTGAGAAGGCCCCCCTTTCCATTGAGGGCTGATCCCTCTGGGGCCTCTTGCTGTGGGGACAGTGAAACCCACTTCAGGGCACTAGCACAGTTCCTGGCACAGAGGAGCTCCTAGATTAACGATTGGTAGTTGGTTAGAGGTACACCAAGCTCCTGACCGCCTCCTGCTTAGGAATGGGACCTGCCTCCCCTTTGGGCACAGACGGAGGAGGAGGAAGAGTCAGGGACAATGCCCTGGGAGGACTCAGGGGTCTGACTGACAGCCACCAACTGGCCTCCAAGCTTGAAGTGGCTCCGTTCTGCCCCGAGCTACCCAGTGAGGTTCTCATGGGGCAATATATTCTGTTTCCTAGAGCAGTCTCAGGTCTGAGACCTGGAACCCCTCCCTCCCTCCCTTCCTTCCTTCTATAAAACAATGACTGAAAATGTATCCAATGTCCATCATTTCTTTGGCTTCAGTGCTCTCCTGCAAATTGGGGATGGAAGTCCTGGTCCTCCCTCCTTCTGGTTCCCCCAGCCTGGTGAGGGGCTGGAGTCCTGTGTGTTTCACCTCCAGACCTGCTCCCCGTCCAGGGCAGTACCTGGCAGGGCTCAGAGGATGGCCAAGGACTTGATGGTGCACTGGTGCACATGCCTGGTTTACTTTGGGCCCTGTGGCACATGGCTGTGGTAGTGGGCTGAGCTCTGGGCAAGGCGAGGGTTTGAGAGTGGTGATGTAGGTGGTGCGTGACAGCTCTACTAATGGAGGCAGGGGGTGGGTGTCAGGAGCAGGAGCTTATTATAGAGGAGGATGGTACTGGAGTTGGACCCTGTGTCGAATCAGAGGCCGCAGGGCCTTTTGTTTTGGCTGTAGGCAGGAGGCAGGGGCAGGAGACAGGCATGGAGTGACAAGGGACTTGAGTGCCAAGCTAGCCTGTTTGGTGGATCCAAGCCTCTTGACCTTGAAATGGAGGTGTGAGACCTCCTTTGAATCATTGGGTCCCTGCGGGCAACTGTAAGGTGGGACTTGTAGATAATAAGACCTACCACACGGGATTTTGAAGATTGAATGAGGTAATAAACATGCAATTAACATTAGTTCTTCTAAGTATAGTGGTGTTATTAGGCTGGAGGGGGAGGATGCCAGTATCTTGCTGCCTTCATTTACTCAATAAATATTTATAGTTACTGCCCTGCGCAGGGTGTCATACCTGGTAATAGAGATACCAACCACCAAAACCCGAGACCCCCCAATAAACAATGACAACAGTTCCATCTGCTCTCATTAGTGTCCCCACTGAGACCTCCCAGGAAGAGCACAGCTCTGAGGCCACCGAGAAGCCAAGTGACAGGCCAGGTGTGGGCTCCGCCTCAGCAGAGGCCCAAGGCCTGGTTATGTGCCGGGCCACCACCTGGGCTGGTGACACAGGGCACCAGGAGTCAGGCTGCTGAGGGCCTCGGGTTGGCTACAGAAGGTGGTCGGGGCCCGAGGGCCATGTGGGTTTGGGCAGGAGGCGCGATGTGCCCAGAGAAGTGTGAAGGGGAAGGCAGTTCCCTCCGAAGATGGGATCGAGAATCAACTCCATACAGTCATTTCCCTTGGGGGCCAGGCATTGGGCAGGTGAGAAACTGAGGCCCAGGTCCCACAAAAGGCACAGGGAAGGCCTCAGCTATGGGTAGGGTGAAAGTTAGGGGTGGGGTCGGGTGAAGTGATTCAAGGCCATGGTGGACCCCGGTCTGTGCCAGGGCGAGGGTTCTGGGCTGATCAATGCTCTTGCACTGGCCCAAACATTTCTAAGCTCCTTTGAGACCAGGGACCATGTGGATTTCATTTTTGTTCATTCATCTCTCCTAGAGACAGTTGGAACTTTCCAGGCCTCTGAAAACTCTTACAAGGGATCTGTAATGCTAATGAGGGACAAACATGGGGTGGGAGGAGGTGGAGGAAAACTGTAGTGTCCTGTGGGCTTTTACAGTTTTCATACTGTTTTTAGCATTTACTCATTCAACAAACATTCATGTCATTAACATCAGGAACTGGGTAGGTATTGCACGGGGTAGATAGATTTTTGTTGTTGTTGCTTTTTATTTATTTATTTTTACGGGGGACCGAACTCGGGACTTTGTGCTTGCAAGGCAGGCAGCGGAACCACTGAGCTAAATCCCTGGCCCTTTTTGTTGTTTTTTAAATTTTGTTTTGTTTTGTTTTTTTGAGGCAGGGTGTCCCCTTGTGTAGCTCAGGGTAGCTCTGAACTCACTGTGTAGCCCAGGCTGGCCTCGAACTCGAAGCAGTCCTCATGCCTCAGCCTCCCAAGGGCTGGGAATACAGGCATACGTCACCACGGCTGGCTAGGATGGTTAGATGTGACCCCAGCTTTCAGGAACGCTGATGGGGATGCTGAAATAAATGATGGAGACAAATCTTGGACTACTCTGTTGAGGGCTGGGCTGGCATTCCCTTGGCTTGTCCTCAGTGTCATACCTGGAGACTGAGCTTGCTGAAGGTCACAGTCTTGGGCAGTGGCGATACCAGGGGAGTCAGTGCGGCAGCCAAGGGCCTGGCCAGAGTTGGCAGAGGGTGCTCACTCTAGGCCCCTGTCCTCCAGCCCATGCATCCTTGTATGGGAGCTTCACTGTGCTTTCCCTCCCTTGTCTGGGGAAACGTGGGGGGTGCGGGGAGACCTCCTCTTTTCCAAGCCCAGGCTCTGCCAGCCTAGAAGCTGTGGCTGGTGCTTTCCCCAGCTCACAGATGAGAAAATGGGGCCAGAAGGGCCGCTGACCTGTGCAGGTCACACAGCCCCGCCTGGAAGAGACGCAGGCCCCACAGGCCGCAGTCTGCAGCCCTAGAAGGAAGAGGAGGCTGCAGACAGGCCCGCGCAGGAGGGCTGAGCTGACCCCGCCCAGCCTTTGGCGGCAGGAGGGGAGGCGGGGGATAAATAAAGCCAGCAGGTCGGCCAGCTGTCCCATGCCTTGGCCTGGGCCTGTCCGCTGCCTCTCACCCACCTCTCACTCCCAGCTTAGGGAGCAGGAACCCCTTCCCTGCTCCCTCATGGGAAGCCATTCCCTGGGGTGGCCCAGTGAGGTGGAGCAGCCGTCCAATTAAAGTAGCTGCGAACCATTTCCACTCCGGTTCAGACTTGCTCTTCTGTTCCTGGCCCCGTTAAGAAAAAACATTCATCCTGTGCCTGCAGAGTTCACATTGAGCAAGCGTGTGTGGCCTGTGCGAGTCTGCGACGCACAGTGGTAGGGAAATCGGTATGGATCCTGGGGACTGGGTGGCCCCTCCTGTCGGGCCTCAGTGTCCTAACCTGTAGAACAAGATAAAAACCCACCCAGTGTAGCTGCCCCGAAAGTCTGCCATTGTGGTGAGGAGCTGGGCACAGTGCTGCACGTGGGGAGCCAGTGTCCCCAACCCGCCTTAGTGCCAGCATCCACTGGGCTTAGTCATCTTCACCACTGACGCGGGAGGTGGCCTCCTTGGGAAGAATCTGGGCTCAGGAAGGGAGGGGATCCGGCACTTGGAAACTTGGGCTTGGGCCCACTTCTTCTCGGAGACTTGTGAAGCCTTTGGGGACCCTGAGCTCACCCCTGCTCCCTCCTGGCAGCACTGGCTCTGTCCGCAAGGGCTTGCATCTCAGTTTCCCGCAGAAGTCCATGCCCTCTTCCCCCCAACCTGCCTAGCCGAGGCTTCTCCCCACTTCTTTCTGACTTCGGTCCTGCCCATTCCCTATTCTCTTGACCAACCCACCTCTTTGCCTCTCACAGAGATTTTGATTCCCTGTCCAAGGACAATGTCTTCGAGAATAACCGCCTGGTGAGTCTGGTGTGTGTTTCGGGGGCAGGTAGGATCTTGTGCAGGTCCTAGGGAAGGCCTTCCCTGTCCTCCTCATCCCTGCTCCCTGGGCTCCTTGCCTGGAACATCTGGGCTGTCATGTGGGGCTTGGGGTGGTAGTGAAGCCAAGGGGACCCACAGTCACCCCGTCCTGCTACAGAAGTGCCCATTCTGCCCACTAACACCACGTCTTCTGTGCCCCCTCCCCCCACCTTGGCCACCCCTACTCCTGCCCTCTCTCTTCCCCTGCCAGGCCTTTGAAGTGGCCGAAAAGGAGCTGGGGATCCCTGCCCTCCTGGACCCCAATGACATGGTCTCCATGAGTGTCCCCGACTGCCTCAGCATCATGACCTATGTGTCCCAGTATTACCACCACTTCACCGGCCCCAGCCAAGGTAAGAAGGGCCCCAGCCCCCTGGGGTGGCCCAAGGGTGTTTGTCACTTGTCCTCTGTGCTGCAGACGGGCAGTGGCGGAGGGGAGGACAGCCCATCCCTCATTCGCTTCATCCTCAAGTCACTCGTTCAAGTTTTTACTGAGTAAAACAGCACAGGGCTGGGCCTTGGGCTTCACAGCTGGGAATGGGATGGCAAACCCAGAAACCAGAACGTGAGCACAGTAATGTCGGGACCGAATCAGGTGCACTCACCCTCACCGTGAATTCACTTCCACCCACCCTCGCTTCCTGTTTGTAGATGCGTCCCTGGGTTCTTCCTTTAGCAGGACAGTGGCGCTGTCCCCTGGGGCCTTTGTGTGGCGTCTTCCACAGAAGTGAGCTCTAGACGGGACCGGGAGCTGGGGCAGAAAGCTCTCCTGACCCAGGAGGGCCGCCCCTTTGCAGAGAGGAAGTGGGCCCAACAGGGGAAGCGAGGGCTTTGGAACACACAGCAGAGAAGCGAACAGCTGGGCTGAGACTCCAGGGGTCTGACTCCTTGTGAGCTGGGTCAGGGCTGCCCAGGGGTCCTGCGTGCTCCAGCCTCTGCACCCTGAGTGGGTAGCCCTAATCCATCTCTTTTTGGTTTTGTTTGTTTGTTTGTTTGTTTGTTTGTTTGTTTTTGGTACCAGGGATTGAACTCAGGACCTTGTGCTTGCAAATCAGGCAGTAGTAGTTTTGTTGTTGTTGCTTTTTGGTACTGGGGATCCAACTGGGGTCGTTGGGCGGCTGAACCACTGAACTAAATCCCTGGCCCCCCTAATCCATCTCTTACGGCAAAACAAAATATCCCACTAAGTCAGGGGTTTCTTTTCTTACTAAAAGTGAAACTTGTTCACTATAGGCAATTTAGAACAGAGAAGAGGCATAAATATTCCCTCCCCGAGGCAACCCTGGGGGTTAAGACTACAATTGAACAGATAATAATAATTGAATGTGTTTGGGTCTAAACTGAATGTGCACAGATGTTTTCCAAAAAAAAAAAAAAAGCAGCAAAAAGCAGCATGACAACTATTTACTTGACTTTTACATCGCATTAGGTGTTGGTGAGTAGCCTGGAGGTGATTTCCATATATATAAAGGGGTGTGCGTAGGTTAGATGCGTTGAGCAGTGCTGTGCATTTCCGGTCGGAGACTTCAGCCTCCCAGGACTTCCGGCGCCTGCCCATACCAAGGACAGAAGCACTCTAGACCCCACAAGCCTGGGTGCGAGGCAGTCTAGCTAACGTGGAGGTTAAAGCGTAGACTCAAAATTTCCTCTCTGCCCTTTCCTATCTCAGTAACTGTGGGCCAGTTCCTTACCCTCCCTGCCTTAGCTTCCCCTTTGCAGCCGGGACGGAATGGTGTCCATTCCCAGAGTGGATGAGAGTGGCAGAGGAGGCGCTGTGCGAAATCATGTCTGGCTCTTACTTAGGGCCCAAATGAGTGGTTCTTATTGCTGACAGGCCCTAATTTAGGATACGTGATTTTTGTAGTTTACAGCAGTACAAAACAGTCTATATTCTTAGAAACTGTATTTCCAATTGGGATCTTTAGCGCAGTGTAGTATACTAAGGTATGATGTTCAGTAGGCTGTGTGTGTTAAATGATTTTTTTTTTTTAAGACAGCAAGGTCTCGCTCTGTAGTTCAGGCTGGCCTTGGAACTCACTGTGTAGCCCAGGCCAGTCTTGAACTTGCAGTGATCCTCCTGAGGATCCTGAGGGCTGGGATTTACAGGCATGTGCCACCATGCCTGGCCATAATGGGCTTTTTGAGGTGTAAACTGAACGTTAAGTTAGGGAGTATGTGTGCCCCTTTAGCTCATTGATCCGAGTTAGCACTCTGAATGATCAGGGTCCATTCATCAACTGTGACCTGAATCACAGTTCAACCATCCCTCCTGGCCAAAACCAAACCTGTTTAGCCTTTCCTGAAGGGCCCTTCCTGTGGGGCTAGATATGTAGGGTGGGGGGGCCTGCGTTTGGGTGGAGCACCCCTTGCCCTGTGGGGGTTCTCTGAGAAAGGCACCCTGTACCTTTCAAACCTCCCACTCTGTACCTAAACACAGACCATTTTTATCTCATCTGCTGCTCACACAAAGGAAACTGCAGTGTGTTCCAGCCTTGGGGGCAGAGCTGGCTCTTCTTGACCCCAGATAGTCCTGTGCTGTACTTTCTGGGCAAGTGGAGGGGTTTTAAGTGTGGTTTCCATCAGGCTTGGCTTTCCCCAGCTCGGTAGCCCTGGATCCTGCCCTGGCTGAGGTACTGGTGCTGTGCTGAGTGTGAGCTTGCTCCCCAGGGTGCAGGGCAGGTGTCCTTGGGATGACATTCAGCTGCTCACTGTGGCCTCTCAGAGCCTCAGGTGGCTAAAACCACCCTCTCCCCCAGCCATGTTGAATTTCTTGTGCTTCTTTGATTTTTGAGGCAAGGTCTTTCTATGTAGCCAGGCAGGCCTTGAACTCACTGTGTAGCCAGGCAGGCCTGGAACTTCCGGCGACCCTCCTGCCCCAGCCTCCTCAGTGTTGGGGTTCCAGGTGTGCATCACTACAGCCGGCTCTCATGCTTCTTTGAGTGCGTCACAGCTAAGCCTATCTGTCTTCTTGCTCACCTTCCCTCCCAAGCCTCCTGGTGGAGCCTTTCCTTCTTATCCTCTTATCTTCATACAGACTGTGGCCCTGACTTTCCAAGGGTTCCTGCAGCCCTGCCCCGGAGAACAGTCATAATGGATAATTTTTTTTTTCAGCTTTAATTGAGTTTATTGGTACATTTTAGGGATACAGTACAGTTACATTCATTGTTGGGATCTTGTACCTCTACATGACAATTCTTGATTCTCATTTTTTCCCCTTACCTCTACCCTCCCTTCACCCCCTCCTCCCCTCCCCATCTACAAACACTTTATTTTCATCTTTTCATTATCTCACATTTTTTTCTTTTCCCTTTTTACTCTTCTCCTACCCATCCCACCTTCCCTACACTTTTAGCTCCTTTGTTCCCATTTCTAAATGTCAGTAATCTTATTAGAATCTTATGCATTGTTGCAGATTATTTACACTAGGGAAACTATTTGGTATTTACACGTGTGACTTATTTATTTCACTTACTATATCTTCAATATGTATCCATTTTCCTATGAATGAATCTATTCTCTCGCTCTTTATGGCTGAGTAATATTCCATTTTATAGAAAAACCACAACTTCTTTATCCAGTTTCCAGCGGATGGGCAAATAGGTTGTTTCCAAGATTTAGCTATTACAAACTGTGCTGCTATAAACATGGGTGCACATACTTCTCTGTGATATGATTCTTTTAGTTCGCTTGGAAAGATACCCAGCAGAGGGATGGCTGGGTCAAATGGAACCTCCAGTCCAAGCTCTTTGAGGTATCTCCATATTGATTTCCATAGTGGTTGCACTAGTCTGCACTCCCACCAACAATGGAGGAGGGTTCCTTTCTCCCCACAACCCCGCCAACATTTGTTATTGTGTGATTTCTTGATAGCAGCCATTCTTTGTGGGGTGAGGTGGAATCT